GCTCACTGGCTGAGCGAGGTGCGGGCGCAACACCGAGGGTTGCGATCCCGTTGCCGGTCCCGGTCCGGTCCGGGCGCGACACTGAGGGTTGCGATCCGTTGCCGGACACGAAAAAAGACAAAAAGGAAAAAAAAAAAAGATTTTAAGATAAGCATTGACAGTTGTATGTATGCATGTGTATCCAGAAGTCAATTCAGTGGTTTCTTTCTACCCAGAAGCCTTATTAGGGTGAAACTTTATCTCCACAAGTCTGCTACATGACAGGCGCAGTAAGTGTTTAAAGAAATCGGCATTTATTTTAACCAGTCATCTGCTCCAAACACCAGGGAGTATCTCTGGCAGGCTTTAAATATATTTGAAATAATCATAGCTAGCTCCTTAAAGAGAATTTCAGGCATTTCTCTCAACAACACCCAGAAGAAAAAAATACTGCTTGAAAGTTTTATATAACTGTGGAAACTTTTATAAACATGCAATAAGAGTGTAAAAATTTAGCAAATGACAACTTCTGTGTAACAACAGTATGTGCTCATATTTCTTTAGGTCATAGAGAGTTCAGCTTATTACTTGAAGGTCTTAATCAGTAATGGGCAGAGAACTTCTGTATGTGTATAAGAATTCTGGGTTGTACATGGTATGTTTTCATAATCTTAGGTAAAATGTTCAGCTTACTTATAGAATGGATGCCTCTGTTCCAGATTACAGAGACTGGTAAACTTGGGTATCTTATGACATGAGAACAACGGCACACACACATGGGAATCTGAAATCCAATCCTGATGGAAAGCCAGGCACGTGCTTACCGGACCCTGAAGACTTCCATCCTCCCTGTCGATGCTGCCTCGAGAGAGCCTCACATCAGGTTTCTAAAGAAATGTAAAGAAAACCAAAAGCTTCATTTTTGATTTGAAAATTATTGACAGATTCTGTATTAATATCCTTCCTTTTATAACATAATTGTCCCTCTGATTAAGAAGAGCTATAAATTCCCCAATTTCAAAAAAATTCTCAAAACCCAGTGATGATGAATGAAGGTTGAGCCCTGTTCACTCTCTGCGCATACACATCTCACAGAACTGGCCCCATGACACTGGAAAACCTGCATTCACCTCTCTTCATAGCAGCACAGCAGGCTTACTTCTTCACCGAGAAAGGCTTGACCCCAAGATAAAAATACTAGGCATTACATTCTGCTTCCTGGCAGAGTAAGGCTTTTATAGACTTGGCAGCAAATGGGTCCAATTACAAGATTTTTTTTTTTTCACAATGCACCCAGAATAGAGAAACCAAACAGAGAAATCTGGATTTAGTGTAAAGAAGAGTATGCAAATTTCACTAATATTAGAATAAACACAGCAGATTACATGCCTGTGTGATGAAGGAGCTTGGTAGGTTTTTTCCTTTCGCAAACAACTCTGTGCTCCAGCATTACTGGATTTTGTGGAGTCCTCAGCCACACTGGCTCCTGCATCTCTTTGCCCAGGCACACTGGCCACACATTTTTGCTTGGAAAACATCTGCCTACCCTTCAAATCTCAGCCATACCTCCCTCCTCTACAGCACGCTTCCCTCTTTCCTGTAGTCTCTGTCTTATGGAGATCTACATCGGCACGTGTCATGCAATAGTTACTTCCCTCATTAGACAAGGAATGTCTTGATGCCTGAATTGTCTCTGCATTTCCTATTTCCTATTCTTGACAAGCGCCTGTCTCTGGGGACGCAATCCGCAAGCACTTGTTGGGAGGGTGATAGAGAAATGGGCTTCATCTCTCCCTTCTTTTCCAGTTCCACTGCTGTAGGCCAAATCCTCTCTCACAGTACCAGTTTCCTAACTAGTCTTTCTGTCTCTGTCCTTGACCACCTCTAATTAAAACACTGTTTTCATGGTATTACATTCCTGCTCCCAAATCTTGACTGTTGCCTCCATGGTCTATATTGATCAAGCCCAAATTTTTCTTCATGGCATTCAAGGCCTTGCATCTTTTTCTGCTCATGAGAGCCTGTGTGGGGTCAGTTGCGAGTGCCAGGTTATAGTGGGAAGTTGGTGAAGGATGCAGACGCTGTTAAGATGAGAATGATTCTTTGATGGCTTTAAGGTGAATTCTTTTCTAGGACAGGAGCCCCGCACTATCCTTTGCTGACTTCTTCCTTTCCTCTTTCTCCTCCTCTGGGTGTGGCACGGTACCTGCAATGTGGCAGGCCCTCAATGAATACTGAGGTCTAGGAACACAGCAGTACAAGGAAATGGGTGAAGGAACTGCTGATGGTTAATCACAGAGAGGACTATGGATGATGGCTGTTAATGATCCTCAGGTCATCATGTAGAAAGGGTGAAACTGTGTGTTGCCCATAAATAAAGGGCAGATTTTAGTTCATTAATGGGAAAGCTTTCTAATAATCAGAGGCGACCTGAAACATTATGGACAGCCCTAGGAGAAGTAGCAGAGAGGAAGCAAAGAGGGCAAAGGTCACATCTTACTTGTTATCTGTTCATTCAACAGAATTCACAAAACACCTACTGTACACCAGCCCCTGTATCCCTAGTGCATAGCACAGATGCTGACGGAATTAACTACCAAGGTATTGTGTAAAAAGATATTCTCTTTAATGGAAAAATATTCAATTAAAAATAATAGCTAAATATAGGTGGAAAACAACCCAAATCCTCAATCCATGTTGAGAGAGCAGAGTTCTACAAAATATGATAGAACTGTCCATTAGTAAACTGGAAAAGTTTTATTTTTTTTTATTTTTTAGAATTTTTATTTTGTCAATATACAATGTAGTTGATTATAAACTGGAAAAGTTTTAAATTAATATTTCTGAACTATGAAGAGCATAACTTAAAAAACTTCTAAAAGATAACACTGTACTTTTGTTTACATGCACTGCAATATCAGGAACCAATAATTTTAAAAAACAAATATTTACTGCAGATGTTAGTGATATATGAATCCAGCGCCCACACAGGTGAAGCCAAACTCAGAGGCATGTGGTGGGCGCACGTGGCAGAGCGGTGTGCTGTGTCTTTTACCAGGAAGGACTATCCCAGAAGACATCGATAGCTGTGGCTGGGTGGCAGACACCACTCAAGAGAAAAGTTAAAGACGTAGGTAGTCCCTGGCCTCCAAGACAGAAACTTCTCTGACACATAGTATAGACACTAATAGGTAACGGCAGGTGAAGTCACCAGGCTGTCTTTCTCCAGGTCCTCCTTCCCTGGAATGCTGGAGCTCTGCTCCTGCCTGAATGAAGAGGCAGCTCTGTGCAGGTAGGGGGTCCCAAACCCTCCAGACGCAGTTAAAAAGACTCTAAAAACGCAATGGACTTTGAGAAAATGTTCCTGAGAAGACAAGACTTCAGACTGACAAATCATAGAACATTACTTAACACAAATGTAAAGGTCAAGAAAGACTTCAGGAAAGAATGAGAAACTGGCTCAAGCTTGGGAGAAAAAAGAGACATCACAACTAAATACAACTCATGATCTGGGACTTTTTTCTAAAAAGGACATTATGTGGATAACTGGTCAAACATGAATACAATCTGCAGATGAGCTAACAGTATAGCATCGCTGTTAATTTCTTGATGTTGGTAACTGGACTATGGTTATGTAAGAGAATATTTTTACTTTCAGGAAATTCACATTGAAGTATTTAGGAGTAAAGAGCATGACATCTAATATTTACTTATAAGTGGTTCAGAAAAAAAATATACACGGGCCAGCTCATGGCTCACTTGGGAGAGCGTGGTGCTGACAACACCAAGTCAGGGTTAAGATCCCCTTACCAGTCATCTTTAAAAAAAAAAAAGAAAGGGGCCAAGCCCATGGCGCACTCGGGAGAGTGCAGTGATGCTCCCGCCGCGGGTTCAGATCCTATATAGGAATGGCCGGTGCACTCACTGGCTGAGCACGGTGTGGGCGACACCACACCAAGGGTTGCAATCCCCTTGCCAGTCACGGAAAAAGACAAAAAAAAAAAAAAAAAAAAAAAAAAAAAAAAAAAAAAAAAAAAAAAAGAAAGAGAAAAGAAAAAGAAAAAAAAAATATATATATATAAATATGCAGAGTGAATGACAAAGCAATGTGGTCAAGTATTAATAACTGGGGAGTCCGGGTGAAGGGAGCACTGAAGTTCTTTGTACTATTCTTTTTTTCCTTTTTTGTCTTTTTTACTGACCGGTAACGGGATCGTAACCCTCGGTGTCGCGCCCGTACCGGGGACCGGCAACGGTATCGCAACCCTCGGTGTTGTGCCCGCACCGCGCCCAGCCAGTGAGCGGGAACCGGTCTCCACATGGGATCCGAACCCTCGGCGGGAGCACCGCTGCGCTCCCAAGCGGTGCACTCTCCAGTGCGCCACCGGGCCAGCCCTCTTTGTACTGTTCTTGCAACTGTTTTGTACGTCTGAAGCTACACCTTTCTTCCTCAGGGGTCCTGCTGATGGGCTCTGGGCAGAGGGAGGAGGTGCTGGAGTAAGAAGAGCAACACTTTTGGAAAACAAAAGACCCAGCAGGCCCAACTTATGATTTGGTCAATTAATAGTTACGTGATTTTGGGTAAGTATTTTTTTTTTCTTGTCCTTTTTGAGACCGGCCGCACTGCACTCAGCCAGTGAGCGCTGTGAGCGCACCGGTCTGAGCGCACTGGCCATCCCCACATAGGATCCGAACCTGCGGCGGGAGCGCTCCTGCGCTCCCAGCGCCGCACTCTCCTGAGTGCACGGAAAAAGACAAAAGACAAAAAAAAAAAGTCCTCTATTATTTAATAATCTGAACAAAAGAAAAATGCACTTACTGTAGAAAATTACGATTCTGGAAAAAAAAAATCATTCAATCTTACCACTTGGAAGTAACTATCATTATTTAATCATATGGTGTAAATAAATGTTTACAAAAATGAAACCATGTCATAATTTTGCAGCCTTCACATAATATTTATATGGGGGAAACCAATAAAAACAATGCTAAAAGGCTACACAAAATTGCACTGTATGAATGTCATCATAAAACAGAAAATGACAGTGAAGGGCATGGGCCCTGGCACCAGGTGGCCTGGGTTCAATCAGGCTCCAACTCTTACAAGCTGTGTAACCTGGGTCTCAATTTCTTCATCTAAAATGGAGCAGTAATTACAACCACCACCCAAGATTGTTAGGAGGGATCAATGAGTTAATACTGGCAAAGCACTAAGTCAGCACCATGTAAGTGTTAAATAGTTCTACTGTTGGAAATTTGGGTCATTTTCAAAATTTTATAAATAAGGCTGTAGACAAACACCTTTGTATACAAATCTTTGATTAAATACCTGATTATGTGCCTGGGACAGATTTCTAAGAAAGGAATTACTAAGTCAAAGGGTTTAAACATTTGAGAAATTGTTGGTATGGGTTTCCAAATTGCTCAAGGATGCGCTATTCCCACCTCTGTCACAGCGAACAAGAGTGTTTCTCTCACTGCACCCCAGGCTCACTGTAAAACTTTAAATTCATAAACAAAACAAAAAACAATTCATAAACAAAACACCATCTATTGTTGTATTCTGCCCCTCCTCCCCCAAACGGCTGAACATTTCTGCTTATCACTGGATGTCCCACAAAGACAGAGGTCAGCAGCTGTTGGCATCACCACTGCATCTGTTACCTAGTACAACGCTGGACAAGCAGGTGGAAGGACACAAATGCCCTGTGTGTTCCTCCTGTGAACTGATTGCCCACGCCCCTTTGGCCAAGGCATTTAACCTCTCCAGACCCACGTCCTCAACTGCAAAATGGGTAGAATAATACCTACCTCACATGGTTATCATAAGAAATAAAGAAGTGCTTGGCAGGACTGTGCACATAGTTGATGTATAGTAAATATCTGC